TTTCTCCCTCGTCCCTTTCTTCCCCCCCCCCCCCCTCCACCATCCCTGCAGTGAGGGGCACCAGGAGAGGCAGAGGCGCAGCGGGGAACCTGGCACAAGCGGGGACTGCTGCTGCACCTTTGCCTCTTAAATGTAGCTTGACTTCAGTAATCGATATGCCCCCTAACCCCCCCTCCCCCATTGACTAATCGGGTAGTCAGTAGAAATGATGTCACTACTGGATTAGCTGATTAATTGAAATGTAATATCCCTAGTTCATGCTTGAGTGATTGCACAGCCAGCTTGATTAGGCCCTGGGGGAAGCCATATTAGATTGCCCTGCACCCCCCTCCCTCCACAGCAGCATACCCTCTGGGGTGCTTCTCCCCACAGATTTGCTCAAGGGTATTTATCATATAAGTCATGGAGAGATCATGGGCCATAAATTTGCATTTACTGTCCATGGCCTTTCCGTGACTTTTACTAAAATACCTGTGACTAAATCATAGCTTTATTTATAGTAGTGGCTTGAGAGGTTAAAAAAACCAACAACTTGGTTCTGACAGGTTTGACTGATGTAAGGAACACTGCAAATGACAATCTGTTCTCCATCTATAATGTTGGAACAACTTCACTTGTTAGTAAGGAACTATGTTAAAGTTAAGCATAACTAGCAATGTCACAAGATTGATATTTCAGGGATTCAAAGATAGTTATATAAACTTAATATTAAACCTAGATTAATTTTTTGCTTTTACTGGTTTTACTCATTTAAACCAAGGGAATTCAGTACTAGTTTAAGGACTGTAATGCAAATTTCAAACATCAGTTTTAGTCTACCTAAGAATAGCACTAAAATGCTAGAGTGTAGGCTTCAGAAGGTTCTACAGAAACTGTTAACTATTTTGTGTTAAGAACTTGTTTTCTAAACTTGCCAAGGCAGGACTGCTTTAAAAGTAGTGTGTGTGAATTTATAACTGTTTTTCCTGCTTGCCAATCATATTTATAGAAGTTTTCTTTTTATTTGGGGCACTAATTGTATTTAACTTTCAGTACTGCAAGCAAATCGACTGGGAATACAAATGAGTTTGTGAAGTCAATGAAAGTCTTGCTGTGAAAGCCCTGTGCTGTTACCATAGCTAACATATTTTCCATGTTATCTTCCTGTCAGAACACTTTCAGCAGCAGACTGAGCTTACCATACCACTTAAGCAGGACATTTGCTTAAGTATAATTGCTGTGTTATTTGCATTGTTGATGTAGAATGACAAGTCACTCTGACTTCAGGCAGTATAAAATATGATCTGTTTTGGGGAATTCCTTGACTCTCTTTTTTTTTTTTATAAGTCAGATAACTACGTGTTCTGATCATTCCCCTCCATTACACAAATTATATACACATCACCATTGCTATTTACTCCATCTTGATGTTTGAGCTACTTTGGTACAATAATAAAGGACTTGGCTGATTTGCTTGCTAACTTGTGCACCCTGACCCCCCCTTCCCCCCCCCCCCCCCATGCAGATAATAAAGTGGGCAGGCAAAAGCAGCTCTTTACAAGCAGTCCCATTAATAGATCATAAGTTAGGCTAATATTTTTTAGTCACAGATAAAGATGTTCAGAGGCCAGTGACCTGTCCCTGACTTTTAGTAAATAGCTGTACTAAAATGGGAAAGAGATGGAGTGACTGGGAGCACTGGGTGTCCCAACACCCGAGGGAGCTTAGAACTGCCAGGGTCTTCCTGTCCCTTCCTTGGTGGGCTACTTTCCACTATCCATGGTGGCTGGGAGCTTTGGGGGCTTGCTGCCTCAGGTGGTGGGGTACCTTTAACTCACTGCTCCTTCAGGAAGCTGTGGGACCCTGTGTCTTCCAGCTGCTGTGGCAGAAGTGGTGAGCAGTCAAATTCCACTGATGAAAATGGTAGCCTTATTCATAAGTGTCCCCTGTAAGCTGTGTGGTTGGGCAGCCACTCAGGAGAGATTCAGTGATGCACAGCTTATTAGCAGAGCATCACAGCTAGATTTTTCTACTATTAATGCACATTCTCTCACCCTGGTGCACGTAAAAATTAATCCTGCACATGGAAAAAATCTGCACGTGGATGGAAAGATTAGCACTGAACTAGCTGTATTAACTGTAATCAATGGAAAAATTTACCTGGGAACTTATGATTCAACCCTCAGAATTGAATCTGGCAAACATAAGAATTCAAAAATCTTGCCAAATATCATGCTCCTTGTGACACCCATGCATTTTCACAGTCTTATCACACAACTGTAGCTCTGCAGGATTCTCAGGCATCCAGTGTAACTGGACAACAGCTGCAGTTCCTCTTGCTAGTCACAAGAGGCAGCTATGCCACATCTGGAGGAGAAAATGGTGGTAAGTGGGTGGGGCCAGGGATGGGATTGAGACTAAATAGAGAAAGTGATAGGTTCTGAAGAGGGATAAGTAGTATAGGACTGAGAAGGGATGGGGGCAGGGAGAGGGTGGCTGCTTCTGCACTTTCCCACATTCTGAGTTCCACGTTACTATGGTCTACCTATCATAGCAGCCTTGGGTGGTACCAGGCATGCATGCTCCACTACAAGTTGCTTTTAGCTCAAGTGTGGGGCATATGTGAAGATCATATGGTGTTAGATACTAATAGCCCATGTGGGAAACAATATGTGGTCATGTAACAAGACTATATTGTATATGCACAATTGAGGGGTGAATTGAAGCTGTACAAAAATAGCACTAATTCTTGCATTCCCTACTTAGTTGGTGTTAACATCACAACCAACATCTTAATGTACGGCAGGGAGCTGGCAGTACTCACATTATCTGAGACAGAATCTTGGGGGACCCACTATCTTAATATTGGTTGTGATAAAATAAATGTAGGCCTCTATAGGAACCATTTCCAGGTTAGCACTTAATTTCAATAGGCTCTGGCTCATAATGGATCAGATATTTACGGGTATCTTGGATGCCAGGCCATTGCTGGTGAGCGGCATAGCCTTCCACCAGTTGGAGTCCAGCAAGCTTAGTAAGAATTAAAAAATATTCCTATCTAATGGGCTTTGACATCTGTATGAAATGAGTTTGGATCTGAATTTCAGGCCTACATCCCTTACCACACAGCTTTGAAGTAACTGGCATTCAGCAGTGAGATCAAGACCTGAAGTGATTGCAAGAAGTCATTCAGTTCCCCTCTAGCCCCCTACATACAATGTGGAATTTTTGTACAATGGGAATATTAACATCAGAACATAGTAACTTGCTGGCAAAATATTACATTTAGAGAATGGTCTGTATTTTGGACTCCAGCTATTGCATTTCAGATGAGCATTTTCTTATATTGAAAGTAGACTACTGAAGTGTGTGAAGCTTCTTTAAAAAGAAAAGATTTTCCTTGTGTAATTTGGGCTCATTTGCAGTTTCTCCACATTGCTGCCAGGTGTTCCCACAAGCTTTTTTGGCTTTGAAGACTTTGATTTAAAAGAGAAAATTATGGAACTGACTAGACTTGGTCAGAACTTTCTTGCTTTAAGCGTTTGTGTTTCTAAATACTATTGTGAACTACTATATTTATTTTTAACCATGTTAGAGTGGTAATAGGCGTTTTCTTCACCCTTCTGTCCTGCCCCCAAAGTGGCAAGGTGCACAAGCAGGCCTACTATGCAAAACAAAACTTACAAGATTAGGATCTAAAGGTTTAACTCCTACCCAACAGTTGCTGCTTCCATTTTGTGTGTGTGTGTGTGTGTGTGTGTGTGTGTACGTACACACGTTGTGGAGCCACTAGTCTTTCGAGGTTTGTTATTTGTTGTGTTAAGCACTTAAGATGGCTCCTATTCTTAAATGCACTTAAAATGTAAAGTATTTAAATTAAAGATGAATTACAGGTATCTTTTATAACAAGTGTTCCAGTTTCTGATTCTGCCAAAATTCCTTAATTCAAAATTATTTTGTTTAGAAACTCAATGTTACTACTTTGTTTGTTAGATACATGCCAATCCAAAAGCAGACCTGCTAATTTAACCCAACCAATGTGAAACCTGCTAATTATCAGAAAAAGGTGGCTTTAGGAAATGTGGCGTTTTTCTTAATTGTCTTTTGGATAAATCTGCTCTAACTTTAAATTCTAATCTTTTTGTTACCAGAAACTCCAGATGAAAATGGCAAAACCCAGCGAATTGACAGTCTTATTATGAAGAAGATAAAGAAAAAAAAGAAAAAGAAACACCGGGAAGATATGAGGGGGAAACGCCTTAAAATGTACAACAAAGAAGTACAAACAGTTTGTGCTGGACTTACTCGTATCAACAAAGAGTTTCTGACTCAAGGACAGAGTGATAACACACAAGTGAACAAGGAATCCTTTAGGTATCTGAAGGATGAGCAGCTGTGCCGATTAAATTTGGGAATGCAGGAATATCGGGTGCCCCAGGGAGTACAGACACCATTTATGACTCACCAAGAGCACTCTGTTCGTAGCAGCTTCTTGAAAACTGGCACTAAATTTAGTAACTTTATTCATGAAGAACATCAGTCTAATGGTGGTGCTTTGGTCCTTCATGCTTACATGGATGAACTCTCATTTTTGACTCCAGTGGAGATGGAGAGATTTGCAGAAGAATTTCTTGCACTCTCATTTAGTGAAAATGAGAAAAATGCAGCCTACTATGCTTTAGCCATAGTACATGGGGCAGCTGCATATTTGCCAGACTTCCTGGATTATTTTGCTTTTAATTTCCCAAACACTCCAGTGAAAATGGAAATTCTGGGAAAAAAGGACATAGAAACAACAACTATTTCAAATTTTCACACTCAGGTAATGTAGACATTCTTAAATGTATGAAGATTCTAAGATTTAGTTTCTGGATTGACACTGATGGGCAAGAGATGAGGAATGATAAAATTCATGACCTTTGTGTCTTGAAGCCTCTTCTCCCCACCTACTGAGACAGATTATAGTATTTGTCCAGTATTTGTACCAGATTATCATCCCTATCCCATATTTGGGAGAGCTCCATCTTTTGAATTCGTGACAGGAAGTTTTAAAATTTGAATCCCCATTCTAGAGCCAACTCACTAAAACAGAGACCTCTGTACTAAGCTATTCTGTCCCTAGCTGGCTGGCTGCTAGATCTCTCTCCTTTTGAATAGATCCAGTGCCTGCCTCCTCTATTGCTCCTAGTTTCCACAAGCAACAACAACAAAAAATTAGACTTCAGAAGATCTTCTGCCAAACATAGTAGCAGTAAAATCAGCTAGTCTTGTCAGCTTTGAGCTGCTGCTTGTGATGCAGAGTTTCTCTAGAAATATTCTGCTGGCAAGAAAAAGCCTTCAACTCTCTAATCACCTGTATGTGTAAACACTCAAGCTAAGATAAATATACTATGTTTTAGTTTGTCCGTTCAATAATTCAAATGGTAAGAGTGAGGACCACCATATTTCGGTATACAGCTTCCTCTTAGCATAACTTAAAAGCAACATAAGGGTTCATTTGTGCCAGCAAACCAGGCTGTGCCTGGAATGGGACTGCTTCTCATAAAACCAAACAGACAATCACCAAATCAAGTACTGTCCTCAAAATTGACATGACTGAGCAAATGTTGAAGGACCAAGCCAAAAAAACCTGGAATGGGATTGCTTGTCAAGTCTTACGTAAGAGGCAAAACAGAGCCCTACTCTACATTTCTCTGTTTTGGCACAACTAAATCAATGCTTCAGGTTCTAGAAGAAAAGCTTAATGCAAACTATATTGACATTAGCTTTTTTGTTAAAACATAGCAAATAAGAGTTGATAGGGATGAAGAAAGACACTTGATGGAATTAGTGCATTTTTTTAACAGGAAAACAACTAAATGAAGACATTAACAGTTTATTTAAGAACTCTAAAAACACTTTATAAACACTTTCTGAAAAATAGTCCTTTAAATAAAGCACATGCCCTTATTTTATAAAATAAAAAGGGCACTTAATTACGTGAATAATTCTGGGTAAATCTGCTAGTTTATATATAATGTAGTGATTGTTTATACAGTGACTTTTAACTTGGGTTGTCCCAAGATAATCTGCTTCAATCCTGAAGTCAGATATTGGATTGCGATAGTGTCATGGGAGTTTGCTATTGCAAGCACTTATTTACTGATAGACTAACATCAATATTCTACTTGTGATACTTACTTCTACAAATTTTACTTTCCAGTAATAGATGCCTGCAAACAACTGTTAGTTGTAGGATAAAGTTGACACTTAAAACCAACTAGAAACCACTTAAAATATACATTTTAAAGGAAGTATAGGGAAGCTTTTTTGGGTCAAGGCCACTGGCCCGTGGGGGGGGGGGGGGGCGGCGCTGCACACATGAGAAACAAAAACAAACACCACCCCTCACCAGTTTGGGCTCCCCAATGCTGGGGGAGCCCTGAGCCTCCAGCTTGATCCAGGCAAGATTGGGGCTGCATCTGTTCCCTGTGTCTTGAGGTCCTCACCACTGTTGTAAAGCAGCTGTTGGTTATACTAGAGGATGCTGCTCATATGAGTGTTTTTTTTTTTTTTTTTTTAAAACAGGCTGGCCAGTAGCCCAGTTAAGTCCCCGCTTGTGCCAGGTCCTGGAACTATCTGGGCTGCAGGGCTGCATTTAAAGTGTATTAGGAGCCAGGTGGTCAGGCAGCCTGGCTCAGTTCCAGCTCATGCTGGGTCTGGGAGCTCAAATGCCCGTGCTGGACTAACTCCCTCTGCTGCCACCCTGTGCTGGTGCCTCTGTATTGGAGGCAGCAGCATGGGGTGGCAGACTGCCAGTCTGAGCAGGGAACTGCCTCTCTTGTGGCCTGGCTCCCACTTGACATGCCATACTGCTGCCTCTGATACAGAGGCAGTGGTGCAGAGTAGCAGGGAGCTCCTCTGGTGGGGCCAGAGTGCACTGGCTGCTAGCCCCACCCCCAGGGACTCTAGAATAATTGAATAACCAATAAGAATTCACCAAGTTAATCAGCTATTCTATTAACAATATATCTCTATTCCCAAATAGGGATGTAGGAGTGTACTTGATTAACCAATAAGTAAAAGCTTATAGGTTAATGCTATAGACCGCATGCATTTCCTCCCCCTTGCCAGTAAACTTTTTTAGCAGCCTTGCTCGTGCTGGGTCTGGGACCTACTCGTGCTGCAGCTCTGCATTTAAAGTGTATTAGAAGCAAGCCAGGCAGGCAGCCTGGCTCAGTTCCAGCTTGTGACAGGTCCCATAAGGGGAGCTGGCTTTTAAACTGGCTCCCTTTGCGGACCAGCTCCCGCCTGGCACCCCACACTGCTGCTTCTGATACTGAGGCAGTAGTGCAGAGTGGCAGGGGATGCTGGCTGATGGCCCTGCCCCAGGGGACTATAGAATAGTTGAGGTTACTCAACTAATCAATTAACTGATATGTAACATCCCTATTTCCAGATAAAGTTTCTTTCCTTGTTCTGTGGTGGTACTATGCTGTCTGTAGAGGCTGGCTTCTCTCACATTTATGGTGGTATTATAATGCAACTAATCACGCCTGGCTTAGGATATTGGCCTCTTCCTTTGTCTGGAAACTACTTATTGACTATTACATGCTTGGTTTAAAACACTTTATTTACACATTTCCAGCATATATAAAAATATAATCTTCATAGATTAACAGTACATATCATGCAGACTATTAAAGATTAGTAAGTTATTGTTCCAATTATAATTACATGATACTCTCAAAATGTGTGTGAAGTGTTTAAGTTGGTCATGCCATCTGAGTCTTTTCTTTTACATACCAAGGAGCCCTTTGCAAATTACTCCTAGAGTTTCTAGAGTCATGAGAACTGTTGGGCTGACTCAAAACAATTTGGCATTATGGCAATCATGAAAGTATGCTAGCAAACCTGTATACATGGAGAATAGTAATAGAGATGCAGCCGTGTTAGTCTGGTGTAGCTGAAACAAAAGACAGAACTATATAGCCCTTTAAAGACTAACACGATGACTTATTGGGTGACGAGCTTTCATAGGCCAGACCCACTTCAGCTCATCACCTAATAAAATATCTTGTTAGTCTTTAAAGTGCTACATTGTTCTGTCTTTTGTTTCATGTATACATGGAGGTTGTTGCAATGAGTAAACATATGAATACTTCACTGGGTTAGATGCTATTTTTTCTGGGATTTTAACATCACTGTTTGGATAGCACTTTACTTGTTTTGTAGCTGACTCCTGTTCTACTGTACTTGTCTACTCTACAGGTCTGTATCAGTAAAACGATAACCTCCCCATGTAGATGGTTCTGTTTCAGTAGGAAAACTTCTCCCATTGACATTGTTATTGCTTCTTGGGGAAAGAGGATTGACTATGCCCCAAGAGTGTTCTCCTGTTAGCATAGGGGTATCCTCATTTAAGCACTACAGTGGCATAGCTGCACTGATGTAATGTTTAACATGTAGATCTGCCCTACGTCTCTTGATTGGGCCAGAACTCCTTGCCAAAGTAGGGTCTAATGCTGTGTGGTGTCCAACCAGTTGTGAAGTGGTAGCTACTGTAGTTGCTATTGCTGTAGCAATCTAGCTACACTCAACTGGCCAAATAACTACATGTGGCTAGTGTGTTGGACATCACAGCTCTAATGTGATGTGGGGCTGCCATCTCTGACAAAAGAACATTAATCTAATTCAGTTCAACTTACTGAAAGCCATGGATAAATACAGATTCAGTTCTGAACATCTAGTACTCATTGCCTGAAGCATAATGTACAGTCTGTAAATTCCTAAAATATGCACTTGCCTTTGTCACAGATCAAGCTGTCATGAGAATTTAGAGATGCACACGTTTGACTAAAAGGCTGTGTTGGCATAGCCCAGTGGTTAGAGCTACAGGGTAGTAAGTTGAAGTATACACTAGTGTGCTACACTGTAACTTCCCTGTGTTGATGCTGCTGGTGTGAACTAAAAGTCCTCTTTAAACAGGGATCCATGTGGGAAGACTAGGAGCCCCTTTTAGTTTGTGTCTTTTGGGCAGGTCCACAAGGATGAATTACAGCACAGTATGCTAATACTGCAGTTTACACTAGCTTGTGTGCTGTGGCCACTGTTCTAGTAGGATGAGGTGCTGGACAGAATTTACTTGCTTTACAGGATCTTTGTAAAATCCATGTCTCTGCGGAACTTAAGCTTATGATAATATGGTTCTATGAAACCAGCTTAGTTGAATATCTTGGCAGTGCAGTTTTTGGAGTTTCAACTGCAAAAATCCACTTTATCTAAACTAGGGATGTTAATATTGGTTAATTGAATAGATGATGAACCTCATAAATTCTTATCTTACTCGACTATTCTATAGTCCCGAGGGGTGGTGCTGGCAGCCAGTACGCTCAGGCCCCACTCCTGGGGAATCCCCTGCCATCCTACATTGCTTCATCTCTCTGAGGCACTAGTACAGGGCGCCAGGCAGGAGTTGGCTCACGAGGCAAGTCTGTTTAAAAACCAGCTCCCCCTGCGGTCAGGCTGTCTGCAACCCCATGCTGCAGCCCACAGAGGCAGCAGCACAGGGTGGTAGCAGCCTATCCAGGGGTGGGAGGTCTGAGCTCCTGGACCGGCTCCTGCCTCTGTAGGCTGCAGCATGGGGTGGCAGGCAGACTGGCTGCAGGACTGAGCTGGGCTGCTGGCCAACCTGTTAAAAAAACTCCCTGGCAAGAGGGGTGAGGATCAGAGGCATGTAGTCTATAGCATTAACCTATAAACAAAAGCTTATAGGCTAACTTATTAATCAACTATACTATTACATCCAGTTCTGGGCATCACATTTCAAGAAAGATGTGGAGA